TAGCGACAAGCGTTTGTGGACACATGGTGTGTTGTTCGTATATCTATATATAACAAAATATAGATTTACATTTATACACCTATATATATACACACACGTACATATAATTATTTTGGAAATATATTCTTCTTCCTATATTTTTATAAGCCCGGGCGGGGGAAAACCCGTCCCCCCCCCAAAACCGGTCTCCCGGGACCTGGGGCTTTGGGGCCCTCCGGACGGGCCTCGAAGCGGCCACCGGGCCTCGCAAGGCGTTTTGCCAAGCCTTCCCAGCACACTTAAGGCGATCAGGGGGGTCATCGGAGACGTCCCAGAGACCCCCAAGACAGCACAAGAGCGCTCCAAGAGTGACCGACGTGACCTCAAGATGGTCCAAGAGGCCTCCATGGCGGCCCCAAAGAGGCCTCCAAGAGCACTCCCAAGAAGGCCCCCCGAGGCAAAAATCATTGATTTTCTATGGGTTGTTTGTGAATTTTGGGGTTCTCCTCTTTTCGGCTTCCCGACGCTCTAAGACGGCGGTCTTCTGGGCGTCCGAAGCCGCCTGGGAGGCGCCCAAATCGCCCCACAACCATCCGAAAGGGCTTCCAGGCAGTCCAAGAGAGTTCCAAAACGGCACAACACGGGTCCAAGATGGCCCTCAGAGAGCCCCATGGCGGCCCAAGATGGCCCAAAGACACCCTCCGAAGAATTCCAAATCGTGATTCGGTCGTTCAGGGAGACGGCGGTTGGAGGCAGGGTGGCCTGAGGAAGCTCCCGGAGGCCCCCAGAATGCGCCCAGGAGGCCTCCAGAAGGCCTTAAGAAAGCCCGGAACAACTTTTGTGAGGCCCCTAGAGGCTCTCCAAGGAGGAGCCTCCGCAAAAAAAAGCTGAGGAGGATGGGGAGAATGCGCAGGGTATGGCGAAAATAAGGAACAAGAAGCATGGAGGAATATAACGAATAACATCATTATAGCGGCGATGCCTGAAAAGGCAACCAGGAGTTATCGCTAAATTGTCGGCTTGACCTTCCTGCCATTCCGCCTGCATGCCAAACTTCAAGGACCAAGGTGCATGGCGCGAAGCGCCACTGCAGTCTTGTATATATATATATATATGTATGTGTGTAGACACTCGGGGTGCCCGTCGCAGTACAAGGTCGCAGAAAGGGTAGATCCGTCTACGGTATGTTCCTGTACTAGAGCAGGTCCCACATGGCACTCCAAACAAGGCCTGTGGGCGGGGTGTCGGCGAGGTGATTGGGGCTGGGCTGGAGGTGGGGTGCCCTCCAAAGGACCCGTTCCGCGTGCGGGGTTTTCAGCGAGGTGATTGCGGCGGGTACGGAAATGAAGCGGGCGGGGGTCCACAACGGACAAGTCCTGCTGGCCAGGGTGTCAGCGAGGTGATTTGTGCAGGGTAGGCGGATTTGATGGAGCGAGGGGGTATCGAATGAGAAGTCTTGTGGGCGCCCGCCTGTGCATGGCTAGAACCTACGCGCGCGAAGGGCGCACGCGTGCGCGTGGTGATAGCTTTCTTCTTGAGTGTTCTCTCTCTCTCTCTCTTTCTCTCCCTCCCCCCCTGCCTCCCTCCCTCTCTGTCTCCCTCTCTCTCTCTCTGCCCCTTCCCCCTACGCGCCAACGCGCACGAACAGATATAGAGATATAGCAGCAACCCGTCGTGACTTGTTCGCGACGCGAGGGGGCCTGCAGGGCGGCGGGTGCGGTCGGCGGCGATGGAGCTGTGTGGGCGGCCAGTGGAGGGCGTCGGCGGCAGCGACGGCGCGGCGGCCGCACGAGCCTGGCGGCGGCTCGGCAGCGGCGGCGGCGGCGCGGCGGCGGACCGCGCCGGGGCCCCAGGGGGCCAAGCGCCCGCAGCCGGCGGGCGGCGCGCCCGCCCAGAAGCGCCCCGCGCCGGCGGCCGCCGTGCGGGCGCGCCAGGGGGGAAGCCCGGCATCGAGGGGGAGAAGGTTGGGGGCGGCGCGCCCATGGGGGGGGGGAGTGACAAGGGGCGGGCCATCTCAGAAGGCTCGGAGGTGCCTTCGCCTCTGGAGAAGTTTTCGAAGCCTTCCCCGAAGGCGCAGGACACCTGCCAGAAGGCCAGAGGCCTCCTGCGAAGCCCTGCCGCCTTCTGAGAGGGCCTTCTCCTTCTCACTTCCCCCCATGGCGCGCCCCGCCGAGGCTAGGTGCGAGGTTAGGTGGTGATAGGCTCAGGGGGGGATAGGGGTTTCGTACGTTCTTTCGTTGGTTCTCGGCGGTCTTCCAGCCTCAGCCTCCTGAGGAGCTCTCCGGCCTCTCCGAAAGCTTGCCAGGTTTGCCCGGATCGTCCCGAATGGCCGCCAGAAAGCCAGGTTGTGACCAGACAGCACGTTGGCAACGTGACGTGGGGATCGGCTTGCTGGGGGATGCAGGGCCCTGATGGCCCACTTCGCTCAGGAGCGTGCGGTTTCGCTGCCTGGGGCCTGTGGCCGATCTGTCGGCGATGTATCGCCGATTCGAGCTCGATGCTTCCCCCCTGAGCTGGTGCCCTATCGGTCCCCCTCTGGGCAAGAACGGGCTTCTGTCGGAGAAGAAGAGTTGCATAGACATAAACTTTCGGAGGTCCACGTGGATTTCTCTGATCGGCTCTCCTCCCTGGCAGGCACCCAGACTGCCCTTACAGCGAATGCTGTAAGGGGTCTGAATTGCATTTAGGGGGGCCCGCTTCTGAGACACATAATGCAACACATTTACCTGTTGGAGCGCCGTACCGTGCCGTGTCCACGTGCCGTGTCGTGCTTAGCTATATAGGTTCGAGAATGCGAAGAATGTGCCGTGCCGTGCCCGCGTGCTGTGCCATGTCGCGCTTTGAATTGAGAATGCGAAGAATTGCCACCGTGCTGTGCCGTACCGTACCGAATTAGGTCTGATAGTGCGGGACATCTTCCGTTCCGTGCCGCGCCTAGGTTGTAGAATGCGAACAAACGTGCCGTGAGACGCGCCGAGTTTGCAGAACGCGACAAGTGTGCCGTGCCATGTCCGCTCGCCGTGCCGCGTTTATGTTGTAAAGTGCGGAAAGTGTACCGTGCCATGCCGTGCCGTGCTTAGGCTCCACACCGCGAAGTAGTTGCCGTGCCGTGCCAGGCCCGCGTGCCGTGCCGAGGAGGAGGAGGAGGCGGAGGAGGAGGAGGAGGAGGAGGAGGAGGAGGAGGAGGAGGAGGAGGAGGAGGAGGAGGAGGATCGGCTGCACGTAAGAGTGATCCTTCGTTGATGCTGGCCCAAAGGGGTCGGGTAACTTGTCCTTGGGGTTGAGCTCGGCCTCCCGTCACCACCAGCGTGGGGTGGTGCTTGCATCTGAGCGCGACAAAGTTTGGGCCCCCCTCGCAATCGACCGCAACGCATACGCGGCGCATCCTACAGCTCGCGTTGGTTTCCCGAGGTGGGTGCTGGTCGACCGGGCGGCGCGTTGTTCGCCTCCCTCCCAGCATCGGTCCCGAATCCCAGCACAAATCCCAAATCGTCGGGCTTGAACCTCTTTGATTTGTTTGGGTATCTTTGACAATCTTTCTGGGCCAGTGGGATTCCCAGACTACCGACGTCATGTTTTTTCATAACGTCGACCCCCAAATGTCTCGACCCATTTTCAGGCACCGGCTTTGCATCCTGAGTCATTTTTGACGGTCCGAGGGCCCGGTAAGGGCCCTCAGCGGCCGAACATTTGGGGAACAAAAACGTCCGACGTGATTGTTTCATGACTCGAGGGGGTTTGGATTCTCTACTATTGAAAGCTACCCAATGATATTCACACCTATTCCGTGCACTTTTTTGGCCCCGGTCCGACGTCGTCGCGACGCGGCCCAGCCGTGCCAGACCTCATCGCGGTGGCCCCCGGCAGCGTCTGCTGTCGCAGCACCTTCGAGGTGCCATTCGAGGCCTTCGAGTCGAATTGGCGGAGTTCTGCGGTTGCCCGCTGGCTCGGCGGCGAGCGAGGTGGGAAAGCGAAAAGGAGATGGCCTTCTCAGGAAGCGGCTGGACTTCTCAGAAGCCCCCACGCCTTCTGAGAGATCTTCTGTGTTTTCGGGGAAGGCTTAGAAAACTTCTCAGGAGGCCAGGGGACTTTCGAGCCTCCTGAGAAGGCCCGCCCCCCCCTCAACTTCCCCCCCGAGCTCGCCGCCAGCTGGCGCACATTTCGAGGCGCGTCCCGCCGATCGGTGATGCGGTGCGACAGTAGCGGCCTGCGCGGTTGCCTTGGGCCCACACGTGCGCCCCGGAAGTCGCTCACAGGAGGCTGATGTTGTCCAGGGCCACTCTCACGCGCAGCCGAGAGGAGGAAGGAGGGGCGCGAGCAGTACGAGGGGGAGAGAGAGAAGGATGATGCCAAGAGGGGGAGTTCGAGGGGGAGAGAGAAGGAGGATGCCAAGGGGGGGAGAGAGAGAAGGAGGATGCCAAGAGAGGAGGGAAGCAAGCAGTTCGAGGGGAGTTGGAAGGGGGAGAGAGAAGGAGGATGCCAAGAAGGATTACGGTAGATTCGTGTCCTTTCGACGCGGCGGCGATCCCAGCGCGGGCGTTCAATGCTGAACGCCGTTGGTGGCCCAGAACCGACCGCCAGCGAGCGCTCCGCGCTATCGGAAAGCGGCGATCGCTCGAGGTTGAAAGATCCTCGCGGTGTCAGAAACCAACGCGCAAATCGTCACGGTACGAACCTGCCGTGCAGCCAAGACGCACAGATGAGGACCATGTTGGGCTCGGGAGTCGCTCTGATTTTCTGGCCGTTCCTGACATCGGAGTCGGGGAGCCTAGGCTCGCCGTGGCCAGAAAAGCCCGTCCGTTCCTGATTTGGCGCTCCTTTTGGCAGCCCGATGAGGGGTGCACGCGACCTGCCCTGGGGCCTCGAGGGGAGCCCAGCCGTGGGCACCAGCGCTCCCCAGGAGGCGCAGACACGCCCAAACACCTTGGCCCTCAGCGCTCGAACCTCGGTCCTCGAGGCTCGAACCTCGCTGCTCGAGCCTCGATTGCCGTATGAGGGGGGCTCGCCTCGCCCCGTGCCAGGTGCCAGCCGGGGCCACCCCGCAGAAGCGCCCCGCGCCCCCCGCGGCGCCCGCGACCGGCGCGAAGAGGCCGAACGCAGGCCGCACCGGGGGGGGAGCCCTCCTCAGGGAGGCGTGGCTTCGTCTCCACCGAGGCGGCGAAGGGTTTGGCCTCCTCCCCTTCCTCCTCGGGTCCCTTGTATGGTAGTGCCGTGTCTCTCGCGGCTCCTCCCTCCTTCCTCTCCCTCCACTCTTCCTTTCGTGGCGCTTCTGCCATACCCTGAGACGCCTCACTGCTTCACTTCCTCGGTGCTTGTTGCATCTTTGGCCTCTCCTTGCGCGTCGCGCACGATACGGGGCCGTCTCGCTGCACGGATACTTGGCCACCGCACCGCTCCGTTCTCCCCCTCCGCCCTTCTCGTGGGCGAAGAATCTGTCCGCATGCACGGCCTCGCGGGTCGGGCCCCTCGGCCACGACCCCGTGGATGCGGGGCGTTGGTTCCGTGGAGGCCCCGCGCGGGACTTACCCGTGCGACCGCGCATCCGTGGGATCGCGCCCTGGAATCCAGGCCGCGAGGGCGTGGATACGGGTCGTGCCTGCATCTCGTGCCACTCTCCCCCCCTCTTGTTCTCCTCTCATCTGTCCCGCTCTTCTCCTCCCCGCCGCCTTGCCAGTGCAGCCCCCCGCTGGGGTGCTCTCTGCCTCCGCCGAGTCCAGCGGCGTCCAGAGGTCTTCTATGTAGGCCGAGGGGCCTGGGAGGAATGTTGGAACTGACCCCTGGGTACGCGCGTCTCCTCCTCCTCCTCCTCCTCCTCCTCCTCCTCCTCTTCCTCCTCCCCTTGTCCCGCACCTCCGCACCGCCCCCCCCCCCCCCCCTCCCCCCTCCTGCCCCTCCCCTGCCCGGCGAGGGAAGCAGTTTTTCCGTTGAGCGAGGACATTCGAAAGGGCGAACGAAGAAATCATGTCCGTGCGAGCGGGGAAATTATTTTCTGTTGGGCGAGGAAACTATTCCGGGCGAGCGGGACAATCGTCTCCGTCCTCCCCTGGAGTCGCCCCCCTCCAACGAGGCAGTTTTCTCCGCCGAACGAAGACATTCGAAAGGGCGACTGAGGAAACTACTCCGGGCGAGCGGGGACATTTCTCTCTGCCGAGCAAGGAAATTATTTCGGGCGGACGAGGCAATTCTCTCCGTCCTCCCTGGGGGTCGCCCCCCCTCCTGCTGTTCGGGGGGCGTCGAAGAGGGAGTTTCAGGTCCAGGAGGGGAAAAGGACCTTCGGGTTGAGGCCCGTGGCGCGCTCCGCGCGCCAGGGAGGGGGGTCCCAGTGCCGATCCCAGAAGTCTGGGCGGACCTTCGAGCTGTTATGTTTGCGTCATCGTTCAGTTCTCTGCGGACATGCGGTGTCGCACCGTACCACACTGTGGCCGGGATGCCGGGGGCTGAGGTTCAGGAAGGGAATGTCACGGCCAGGTCAACGTTCGGAGGGCGACGGGTTCAGAGGGGCACGCATCGCCCCCCAATCGCCCAGTGGTCGCCGATAGGGGCCCGATAGGCCCACCCCACCCATGAGCGCGAGGGTTCGCTATGGGGGGCCTATCGCCGATTTATCGGCGGTGTGCCGCCGATTCCAGGTCGATGTCAGTGCACCTGAGCCGGGTCCCTCCTAACGTCCCCCCTCAATTATGGCCGGAGGCCATCAGATGTTGAGCTCCTGAACTGCTCCTTCAAGATCCCATCCGACATGTGGTCCATTTTCTAAGTGAATGCTAGACAACCCCAAATCATGTGATGTCATAGCAGTCGTTACATCGAACAATCAATTCTTAACGTGTCGCGCATCCCCACCAGCTCATCCAACAACAGAGGCCAGTAGACTTGCCCTGATCAGGTATGTATAACAGCATGCGGCCCAGCAGTAGACCGCATCCGTCTTTGCGGATTTGGGAAGAACGAGGAGAAGGCGACGACGACGACGATAACGGTCGTCTGTTTCACTCCTGAGTCCTGGATAATGTTCGAACATCGTCCCAACAGTTTTCGATGCATCAGCCCGTCTACTCACCGAGACGTCCCGCGCGTCTGTCCGTCTGTCCGTCATGCGCCCCTCCGAGGATGTCTCCTACCTCTCATGATGATGAGCTGGAGCTAGCGTGTCAAAGGTTGGCGCATCAGGGGGAGGCATAAACTAGACTCGGGGAACAATAATTACATAAACATAACAACTCGGAGGTCCGCGCAGATTTCTTGGATCGGCGGCGGACCCCCTTGCGGCACCTCTGGCGCCGCCCTTGGCACGCTCCGCGCGACAGGGAGACCTCCAAGTTTCATTTTCATTTGGCGCGGCGCAAGCAGCCCGAACTGCAGCCGTTGGTGCTCTAGGACTAAGAAAGGAGCCTGGCCACTTCCTTCGATGCTTCGTCGAGGGCGATGGCTTCGGCACCAAAAACACTGCACGGTGGTTCAAGAAACGTACCGTGGACCATGACAGGCTCAAACACATGACCGTCTGGAGTGCACACCCACAAGCCGATTATCCACGCGGAGGCGGCGCAATCGCCCTCACGGACACCACCGTCCGTCTAGACAACAAGGTTCGCACGTTTAAGTGCGAAGCTGGGCTGAAGCACTTGAGACCAAGAACTGCGCTGGTCCATGGTGTGGTCGGCCAGTCTGTCGGCGACCTTATTATATGTTACTCCACCACTGGACCGGATCGTCATGCAACTGAGGCGGGCACCATCCTAGAGAGAGATGCCCCCAAATCCGGTCCAGCACTCGAGTGAGAAGCGCCTCATAGTGCGCGTCACGCAACTGCACGTGGCCGCACACCAGGTTCGCTAAAAGCTGCGAGTCTGTAGTGTACACAAAACGTTGCTCCGACGAGCCCCACAGTATGTCGGGCGCAACCGTGTCTAGCAGCTCGTCCTGGGCAGGACTACTTCCTCGGAATCCCAATCTGTCCTTCCCTTCTGGGACTGCGGCTCGGCGTCTCTTACAAATCGGTTCCGCTCCATCGTCTCGCTGGCCAGGGCAGCAGGGTGCCAGCCTCCAGCTGCTACAAGCATCAACAACGAATGCCGACAAGCTGCACTTCCATTCCGCCGTCGTCATCGCGTCGCGCTTTGCGCGCCAATGCAGGCCCAGAAAGGACACCAAGGGGTCATCCCACGCTGCCCTTTTTCCGCAAGATCTTTGGAGAGGCCCTTCGGCTCTGCGTCGTTTCTGGGAGAAGTCTTTCACCATTTCCCAGCAGGTCGTTGAGTCGCCTTGCCCTGCAGACCGTAGCATTGTAACGCTCGTGGAAAGCTTCATTGTAGACTGCCTGAAGCGCTGCAACATGCAATGGTTTTCTTCCAGTCTGCACAAATAGCTGCTTGATTCGGCTTGCGGACCGTTCCAAGTACTCATGGTTCCAGGACCTCCAAGTTATTCCTGGCGGAGCCGGGTTCAATTTCGTGCCCTCCGCTGACTGACCGACTGCATTGAACTGCACTGAAATGACTGAACTGGAGAGGCACTTTTGACAACACATCTCAAGCCGCCTGCGGGCGCAACCGTAACCAGGCGACACATTTCAACCCGCCCGCGAGCGCAACCGCATCCGCAACAGGGCGATACATGTTTGCCCGCCCAAAGGCGCAACCGCAACCGTACACATTTTTGCCCGCCCGCGGGCGCAATCGCAACCGCAACCAGGCGACACTTTTCAACCCGCCCGCAGGCGCAGCGCAACCGCAGACGCAACCATGCCACATATTTTTCAACATGCCCGCGGGCGTAACCGCAACCGCAACTGCAACCGCATCCAGGCGACACATTTCAACCCACCCGCGGGCGCAACCGCCCGTGGAGCACGAGGTGTATGAGCAAGAGGAACAGGAGGACGAGGAACAGGAGGAAGAGAGGGAGCGGCAAGAGCAGGATGGGCAGGACGGCCAGGAGGAGGAGGAGGAGGAGGAGGAGGAGGAGGAGGAGGAGGATGCAGGGGTGGTCGAGTTTCTGGGGGGTGCAGGAGCAGGAGCAGGTGCCAGAGGAGGAGGAAACCACATGGCACGAGAGGGAGATGGAGGGCCTGAAGGATGAGACGGAGGAGGAGGAGGCCGACGAGGAGGAGGAGGAGAAGGAGGAGGAGGAGAAGGAGGAGGAGGAGGAGGTCGCGTTGCCCGCGGTTCTCCACCGGGACATTGCAGCGGGGAATCCGCGTTCCACGCTGCTGCCTCTGATCATGTTTCTGTCACCGCTTAGTTCTCTATAGACCTACGGCGTCGCACCGTAGCATCATGCAGCCGAAATGTCGAGAGCAGATCCGACCATCGAAGGCTCCGGAAGCTAACCTAGCGCGCGGACGGCCGGCTCGGCCCGCCGCTAGTGTTCTTCCACAGGCCCCCTGGCCCCACCCGGCCGCGCGCAGGCCTCGGGCCACGCGATGCGCCGGCGCCCCTCGTCCTGGAGAACGCTTCTGATTCCCGGGCGATGCCGGGCGTTCCCGGGGGGTGGGTGGGGGGGCGCGAGGGGGTCGGTGACGTCACGATTCGCGCCGGCGCCGTCCGGGAATTACCTACCCCTAGCCCCAAGCCATTGCCAATTGGCGTCGGCGCGAATCGAGACGTAACCAGGTGTGGGGGGGGAGGCATGCCCGGTAACGTGCGCTATCGCGAATAGGAAAAAAACGCGCTCCTGCCGTTCCCCCCAAAGGGCTCATTTCGACTCCTCCAGTGCGATTCGATTCGATTTCGATCGATTCCGATTCCGAGTCGATGCGGTCTTGGACTCCGATCTGGATTTCGGTTTCTCAGTGGAGGCCTTACCTGCCTGCCGATTGCCGCCGATTCGACTTCTTCCGACGTGGCTGCCGATTTCCGCCGATCCGATATATTTCGATCGCCGACCCGTCTTATCGATTCGACTCTGGGTTCTCCTGCCCCCCCTCGCCCGATGCTCAAAGCAGCACCTTCGAGGGTGTTCCGGAGAGGGCCTCGTATTCGGCGTGTCTCGCCCTGGGCGGAAAGTCGGCGGAAGGCCAGCGGAAGCAAAGCGGCGACGGGTCCGCTGGCGGAAGGTCGGCGGGCGTTTCCGGGTTCAGGGCTTCCAGGATCGGCCACAGAGAGCCTGTCTGTTTGTTGACAGAGGTTGTCGAGGTTCTCGTGCGATCCATAGAACAGATCCCCGGCGGGGTCCAGAGAATAGCCTCTCCAGGAAGCTTGGGATGTTTCAGGCGTTCTGAGCGAACGAGGGTCGAGTCCAACGCCCGCAAGGGCGGGCAGTCCATTTTCTCTCCTTGTTTCTGGGTGTGCGTCTGACTCATATTCTACATGGTCACGCTTTTCTCACCCACGTTGCCTCCTCACTTTTTATGCCCTGCGCAGATGGGAACCATGATCCTCCTTCCCAGACGCTGTGCTTCTTCCTTGCTCGTAGCCCCAACCGCCAGGGACCGGCCCTCAAGTCTACGTAGTCTACTCCACCAACGATGCCGACGAGATAGGGATCGACACGCTGGTCGGGGAGTACACGGAGATTGGCGTGAACCACGGCAAGAAGTCTTTCAAGAGGTGCGGGGGGTCGTCCAGCCGCTGTGATCAAGGTAGGACAATCCACCCAGACACCGACAATTGGCGTTTACGAAACGGCCCTGGGCGTTTACTGCCCTGTTCGATTCCTTCCTTGGGTGCGTTTGAGCGGCTTCGCTTTTCGGGGTGCCTATTATGGGGATGGATCTTCCGGGACATCTCAGGCATGCCATCACAGGGGGCATCTTCAGGACGTCCAGGGCCCCGTGCGCCTTGTTGGGGGCGCTCTTGGGCTGTCTGCCGCCTTCGGAGGTCGTCTTGGGGGCATCTCGGGGCCCCGATGGGGCCCTCTGGGGCGTCTCGGGTGTGCCTTGGGCGGTCTTGAGTCCCTCTTGGGCCGTCTTGGGCTGCGGCCTTGTAGCGAACCTGGAGGCCTCTGGGGCCGTCTTGGGCGGTCGGGAGCCCGAGCACGTGAGAATGCTTCTTCATTGCGGAAGCATGAGAAAATCAAGGATCTTCACTTCCAGAGGTCATCTTGGGGGCCCTCTCGTGAGCCTCTCGGTTCGTTTTCGGGGCCTCTTGGGGCCTTGCGTGGCAGTCTTAGCGGCATCTTGGGGCCACCTTTGGCCGTCTTCGGCTCTGAGGCCCTGTTGGGAGCTTCTTGGAGCCATCTTCAAAACCTCACGGGCACTCCTGGCCGTGCAGTGCTGTCCCAGAGCGGCCAGACACTTGAGTGCCCCCGATGTTGTTTCATGCCGCGGGGCCCCACAGTAACACGGAGACAGGACTGGAGACACAAGAGGCAAATACTCAAAGGAACGCACAAAGTTCATAAGACAGCAGTCCAGCGTGCACTTCCACACAGCTTGGCGCTCCCAGGGGGGCCAGCGGAGACATTCGCGTAACATGAAAGGCAAGCATAGTATACCCGGCGTCCAGACCCCCAGGCCCAGGGGCAGCGCATCATTACCCACCATGCCACCCCAACGCAACCCTCCATTCCCAGAGTGGGGGGTGTGTCGGGGAACATCGAGAAAACACATGTGAAACCCGTACCTCACCCTAACCCGAAATGTGGGTCTTCGGGTTAGGTTGGGGTGGCCTGGTAGGCAGTCAGCACGCTTGACCAAAATCCCCTTGGTACCCACTTTTAGCCCCGGGGGCTGGCGGCCGGAGTAGACCGCCTCAAGCCGGCGCCAAGAGTCCCCCAAGACCGCCAGGACCTGCCCAAGACGGCTCTACAGCGCTCCAGGACGGCCCTCGATGGCTCAATACGGTACTCCAACAGGCCCCCAATACGAGCCCGATGAGTACCCCCAAAAGGGCATGACGAGGATAAAATCATAGATCACCCGACGCGTTTTCAATGATTTTGGTGTTATCGTTCTTCGAGCTTCTTGCAGCCCAAGACGGCTCCAGGGGCCTCCCAGATTGCCCCAAGATTTGCTGAGACGACCTCCCCAAAGGGCGCCACTATGACCCAAGAGGGCCTCAGCACGGCCCACGAGGCCCCCATGACGGCCCAAAAACGGCCCCAAGAGACTCCCAATCGGGGGCCAAGAGGGCCCCAAGAGGGTCCGTAGTCATTGTGGCTCAAGCCACCTTCGCTCACGCCGGATCGGGCTCCAGGGAGTGGGTCGGGCACCAGGTGCCGTTATGGCGACCGCACGCGCGGCTCTCGCTTGCGAGGCGCTGCCGGTGCACAGCGCCCAGGGGGACCCCAGGCGGGATGAGCCCCGGGAGCCCGACGAGCTGCCGGCGGTCACCAGCTGCCCGAGGCTGGTGTGGTGTGCGGCCTCTGCCGTGGGGACCTGCGCGCTCCTCGCCCGCGGCCGCCGCCGGCCGGCGCGCGACCGGCCCCCGTGCACCCGCGCAGGTCGACTAACGTAAGAGTGACCCTTCGCCGGAGTGACCTTCGGTGCGGGCACAGTGGGGTCGCCGATCGCCGAACGCGATGCGATAGCAGCGGCTGGCGCTCTTTGTCTGGGCCCACTCGCGCCCCCCCTGAAGCCGCGCACCAAAGGTCACTCTTACCCAGGGTCACTCTTGCGTGTAGCCGAGGAGGGTGCCTTGCGCCGTGCTGGCCGCACCCGGGGGAGCCTGGCGCTGGAGCTGAAGGCCCTCATAGCTCGCCCGGAGGCCCTCTCGCATTAAAGCCCCTGGTGCCGCAGCGGCGGCCGAGCGCGTCCCTGGCGGAGGCGGATTCTTCTGTTCGCCTGCGCGCGCTCGACGAGGGGGTCTGCAGGGCGTGGCTGCGGCTGCTGCAGGAGGCTGAAGTCGCCGCCAGATCCCTTGTTCCTGCTCCGAGTCCTTCTCGGTCTTTGGCAGCTGGGGTAGCTGCGGTGATTCGGCCTCCAAGGCCTCCGTGCACTGCAGCCGCTTCAACCACGGGGACATGCTGCGCTCCATCGCAGATCAGCAGGGGCTCCTAGGCGTGGTCGTCTTCGGCTCCTCTGTGCGTCCAGGCGGCGTCGACCAGGGCCGGCTGGGAGACGGCTACTTTCTGTCGGCGCTGGCGTCCGTTGCGCACGCATGTCCGAAGTGCATCATGAGCATGTTCATCCAGAGGCAGCATGAGACAAATGGAGTCAACAGCAAGTGGCTCCTAGACGGAGTGGAGATGGAGGTCTCGGTTGACCACCTGGTCCCTGCGAAGTACGCCACCCCCCTACTTCGCACAGGTATCGAACGGCGTCTTCTGGCTAATCATCCTGGAGAAGACCTGGCGTGAAGATCCTGGGGTCCTATGAGGCTGCCGAAGCGAGAAATTGGCTGAGCGCTGTAAGTGCCATCGCTCGCTCTCCCGTGAAGTCCGCGTGACAGTCGGATTTATTGCAGGATGACCTGTGGAGCGAGCTGGAGCGTGCCTCGAGTATGCACTTCCCGTGGGAGCCAGCACAAGAGACGGCGCGAGCAAACCAAAAAAAAAACCTCCCCGTATCCCACGCCTACGCGGTCATCTTAGCATACGCGGATCCAAAATATGGGCGCGCGTTTTGTTGTTTCAACCCTTGGAATTTGAATAGGCACCGCGGCGCTGATCCAAACGAGAACGAGCGAGATGTCATGTTCGACGCGAAGCCGGATGAGTACTTCAACGCGTTGAGAACAACGCGGATCGGATTTTTGCTCCCGAATCACACATTTCATCCTTTCATGCGCTCCAGGTGTCAAAGCAGTTGAGCGCCCTGACGTTTTCAACCGCCCCGAGCATTTTTTGCATTGTATCGTGCATGGCCGGTGCAGAAGTTTTACATGTCTCGCATGCAGGCCCCACCATACACAGTAGTCTTTTGGTGGCCAAGGCCTCACTCATCTGGTCTCAAGTATGGGCCTGGACTGCGGTCCGCATTGGTGGTCGTTCGTTGGTTCGCTCGTTGCCAGCTGAGACCCGATGTAACTGCAGCGATCGCAAGACAAAACAGGAGCGGCGAATTGGGTAAGATATCCCATGGCCCAAAACAGCCAGGACGCTGCGATGAGTATTCTTACCGCCAGGGCCGCTGGAGAGAGTGGCGCCTATGATTTGTTCGTGATTGCAGATTTCCTTGGCGAAGTCGTGGATCGGGTTGTCGAGGTCGCGGCCGTGTACGCGAGCGAGCGAGTGAATCTAACAAGTTCTTTAAGGGTGCGCTTCCGTGGTGGCCCTTGTATGTTTCTGGCCCTGAGTGCAACGAGAGACACGTCAGCTTCATGAGCCACGGCATCTTTGCACCGAGTCCAGACAACTTCGTTCGTGGCATATTTACGTACCAGGGCATCGACGGCGCGGAGTTTGTCTACTATGGCAGGCGGTCTCGATGGGGAAGCTTTTGCTGCGGCGCCATGGTCGCCGCGCGCGACGCCGTCTGCGGCCGCCTCGACTCGCCCGAGGGCGGGCGCGGCCTCGACGCGTCCTGCTCGCAGGTCTCGCCCCCGCACCTCAAGTACTCCAGCGTGTGAAGGCCCAGTCATGCGACCCCCCCCCCTTTGAGTTTCGTTCGGTGCGTCGCCCGTGCGTCGCCCGTGCGCCAGCCCTGGTTTGCGTCTCTGTCCCGCATCCCGGCCTCCCAGAGTGCGGGGGCGACATATGGCGCGACTTCGGAATTTCGCTGGCGACATATAGGTTTCCGATGCCGGTGCACCAGCAGCCACTTTGGCGGTCGTGGCGCGCTCTAGTTCGACGGTCCACCAACGCGTTCTGTTTCCCATTCGGCGCAAGAGGATTTGCTGGTGCGTATTTTCGGGGGGCGCCAACCGTTGCTGAGGACGAAGACGCCTCGCGTTGATTGGGGACTGTGCGTGTCGCGCCACGGTGGGGGTGACGCCGCGTCGCGCGACGCGGCGCCACTTCGACCCGCCGCATCGCGCCCCGCACCCCCATGTCGTTTCGCGCCAATCCTCCTGCCCCCCCATCTCTTCCTTCCTTTTCACCTCGTCCAACGCGCTGCGCGTTTTGTCTTGTTTGCGACATTTGTATTCAGTTCTTTTGTGTCAGGCTGTCGTCCTGTCCCCTTCCATACTCGCCCCCCGTTGTCCTTCCACCCTCCTGGAACTTCCTTCTCGCCCTCCTCGCTCCCGCCGCCCCCCTTCTATTGCCTTCCATCGCTCCCGCCGCCGCTGCGCCGCCCCCGCGCCGCCCCCGCGCGCCCCCTCCTCGCCCGTCCGTTCCCTTTTCCGCCTGCCCTTCCTTTTCCTCGCTTCCCTCCTCTGTTCCCCCCCAATGCATCGGCGGGCGAGACGTCGCCGAATTGCTGCAGTGACGAACCGATGTTCAAATTCTGATTGGGCGTGCGCTTGAAATTGATTCCTTCGCGCGCGCTGCATCTCCATGTCGTCCATTGGTCTCCTCGCGCCCGTAGTTATCACGTGCGTGTCCCGCTATTTCCGCCGCGATTGTCGCGCGCGTTCCTTGATATGTTTGCCGGCGGGTCGTGCAGTTCACGCGCCGTCAGGAGCCCACGGCGCTCTTCGAGCGATTCACGCGCGACCTGCGCGCGACGCGCGAACGACGCGAGCGACGCTCGCGCGACGCACGCGCGACGCACGCGCGACGCGCGCGCGACGCACCCCGACCCGCGCGCCACGCACTCTTGCCGGCGCGCGACGCACGAGCGACCCGCGCGACGCACGCGCGACGCACGCGCCACGCGCGCGAAGCAAGCGCGACGCGCGCGCGACGCATGCGCGACGCGCGCGCGACGCACGCGCGACGCGCGCGCGACGCACGCGCGACGACTGCGTGACGCAGTCGCGACCTTGCCCGCCCTCAGCATTTCTCCGAACAGCAGTGCGCAACGGCCGTCGGCCCGCCGTGCTTGCGGCGTGCACAAGTGGCGGCGGCTGCGTCCTCCATTGCGCCAGGAAGGGCGATGCTTGCCCCTGTTCCATCCCTTTTCCTTCCTCTGGTCCCCCTCCCTCATCCCCATCTCCTCCTCTTTTCTCCCGGCCTCCTTTGTTTTTGTTTCCCTTGCCACCCCGTGTCCCTCTTCATTTTCTATCTTCTCTTTCGGCCCCCTTTCCGCGGCCGCGGCGCGTCGCTGCGATCGGCGCCCCCGCCTTCCGCGAACGGCCCCGCCACTGGCGGTGGAAGAGGAAGATTGCGAGGGGAAGAAGAGGGGGGGGGGGCAGGCGCGAGGCGGGCGCGGCGGCAAAGGCGACCCAGCAGGGGAATGGGGGGGAGAGGGGGGGGGACGGAGTGGGCGGGTGCTTCTGTAATGGTCATGTTGGTGATCATGGTCGCGGTCGCGTTCGTCGCCTTGGTCACGCTGGTGGCGGTCGTGCTGCTGGTGGCGGCTGCGGGCTGGTGGTGGTCACTCCGGTGATCGTGCTGGTGTCGGTCGTTGTGGTGGTCGCGAGAAGCGTGGTGGTCGCCGTGGCGGTGGCGGTGCATGGTGGCGGTCGTAATCGTCGCGGTGGATGTGGTTGCGGTCGCGTCCGTTTGTGGTGATCGCGGCGGTGGTGGATCCGGCGCTGGCGGCGGTCGCGGCGGCTGCGGCGGCTGCGGGGACCTGCTGGCCTAGCGCCAGAGCGCGTTCAGCAGCATTGCGGCATTTGTAATGTTAGAGGGATTTGCTGATCTGCCGAGGTAGCCCAGCGACCGCCTTCTTCTCGCCAAAAGGGCCGCAGCGTGGGAGATTCTTTTCCCGAGGGCGATCGGCTTTTTCGGCGGCCGTAGAGCGGGCGACGCGCGTGCGATCCGCCCCGTGGGTGCCCGCCGCGCTGGCGACGCACCCGCCCAACTGTCCCCTTGCGAGGGCGACGCGCACGTTCGAGAGGACGGCTGGCCTTCTCGGCGGCCGACGCGCGGGCGGTGCACGGGCGACGAATGCGCGACGCACCCTTTGTCGCGATAGGGGGGAGGGTCAGCGCGCCGGTCGTCTTACTGGGCCTTCGCGCTCCAGCGTGGCCTGCGAGGGCGTGCAGTACTCCGCGCTGGTCCGCCGCTGCTGCCCCGCGACATGCGGCGCCTGCGCCTCTGTCTGCCGTCCAAAGCGCTCATCACCTCACCCAGCGGTGATCGATTACGAGTGCAATGTTCCGTAGGCCTTGTTGCAAACAGGTGTTATGATTTAACTTGAGGAGTGAGTCACTGCTTGCCTGTCGCCCTCCCTGCCTTCTCCTCGTCCTCCTCCTCCCCCCCTTCCTTCTCCGTAGACATTTTGGCTCGAGTCCATGCTAGGTCGGGGCCCCAGGCGCGCCCGTGTCTCTGCTGCATGTCGATGGCTGCTGGCGCCGCTGTGGTGGCGTGCACGTCTCTGCGCAGGTGAAATGGTTCATCAGCGTTCTGCGGATGCTCGTGACGCTCGAGCTCGTCGCGCTCGTCGTCGTGGCTTTCTGCATGTGCCTCTTCCTGGTCATCGTTTCATCGCAGTGCCTGCTGAGTCGCATGCACATGCAAAGTGCATGTGCCAAGGTCTTACTCTCCACGCCCATTTTCAAGCTGATAACGGGGTACGTACGCCTGGGCTCCGTCAGGCCGCTGTTCTGGCGCGTGATCGCGCGGGTCCTGATGGGGCGGCCGCTCATGTTCGTGCTCACGTTCGTGCTGGCAGGGCAAAGCACCGCGCGCCCCCTGTGTAGGTCCCTCGTGTTCATGCTGGGCAAGACGCGGAGGCTGCTGAGGCCCCGCCTCCTGCTCCGCCTCCTCTTGGGACGCTATGTTTGGATGTGTTAATTCCTGCGTGTTTGTATTCTCCTTTTACGTGTAGGGTGGCGCCCAACGAGCTTTCGGCTGGCATCGCCGCCCAGTGTGTGGTGACAGTGTCGTACATACTCTCTGCCTTCTCGCTCGATCTGCAGTCGATGGTCGCCCCTTTCTACCAGCCCGTGGTCTTCCCGATCGCATCGTGCTTCGACTCTGACATCCCGCAGGTGGCTTCGTTCATCGCTGAGCTGCAGGTGAATTCATATTCGTCCTCTCCTCCTTCCTGTTCGCCGCCTGGTGTGTGCGCTCCTTCTTCGTCGCCGGTGTGCGTCGACCCTTCCGACTGGAACATCGATGAGGAATTCGAGCTGCGGAGGTTCGAGGAGAAATGCATGATGGGCGCTGCGCCCCGTGCTGAGGGCGCTCTCAGGGGCGAGGGTCGAATCCTCGAGATTTGGGTGATGATGCTCATGCAAGCGACTCTTGTTCACGAGGACGGGCTGCCCGACGAGTTTCTGGACGAAGCTGCGCGTGGCGTTCTGTTCGTGGCGACTGGTCCTGATCTCGGCCCTGATCTTTGTCGTCCTGCTTGCGCTTTGGCGCCG